GAATTTTTGCAATTGTGTTATAATTTATAATAATCCCTTAAAATTCAACTGTTGCTGTCATATCTTTTCATAAAATGAACAAGATATGTAAAAAACACAGTTACATGACCTCAGCTGATAACACAAAATATAATACTATTACTGACTCTAGAATTAGCCCAGCCATAATCATCTGTATTCATTTTAAAAGACTGCTTAGTGAATTTGAGGTTTAATAAGTTTTTTTTTTTCCTCCAGAAAAAGATTGCAGCATATAGTAAGATGCAAGAGACATTGGAGGTGACTCTTTCAACCAAGCAAGAAGAGGAAGAGAAAGAACAGCCTGCAGAGATGGAGTATCTGAATTCTCGATGTGTCCTCTTGACCTACTTTCATGGAGACATTGGAGCAGTTGTGGATGAACATTTCTCAAGAGCCTTGAGTCAATTAAGCACCTTAAATCAAGAAAAACACCAGCACTAAGACCAAACCAGGACCTAGTCGAGGTAAAGATAAAGCTTCTTATCTGAACATTCTATATTATTATCAGATTAAACATACTGTATATTTTTCATATAAACTATATTGTGTATAACATTCAATAATGTAGCGGGTAATTTCTCCTGGAAAAACTATAGCATCATTTCTATTGACTGCAATAGGGCATTTATGGACAGCCAGATATTTTGAGCAATAAAGAATAAAATCCCTTTTATTTGAGGTATTCCTAGAACTATCAACATACCTTCTATTTAGCGTTCTTGGACCTTCTAACTTTACCATTCTTTGGTCTGCAGAAACCTTATCTTGTATGTTCAAGTGCACTTTAAAGTGTAAAATACTTACCTAATCCAGCAATGTAAGACAGCAATAGGCATCTATACGTGCCTTCATCAGATCTATTTTCAGTACAAGCAACACAGATGTCTACGATCCAACCATCGTCCACCTCCTAAACCTTTCAACTGACCCATTGCTATGATGGGTAGTCTCACTAGTCGATAGTAAACCTTTGAGGGTAGGCCAGGTTTCCAGCACACAACCCCTGAAAATATGTGAATATCAGAGCACCTGCAGAGTGGGGGTTTTCTGACACCTGGGGTGCTCATATTGGAAATGGCCTGATGTGTAGACTTCCAGAGATATCTGCTATTTACTAACAGAAGGGGCTTTGATATAGAAAGTAAATGGTATTTATTGGTATGAAAGGCAGTTTTAGCTTGTACCGGAGGTGGGGCTTATTAATATACTATAAAATACTCAATATCATCAAAAAAGGGTGTGTGTTGCATATATTTTCCAAAATCCTGCAGAGGTTTATAAAGATAGTCTTAGGTGCAGAGGGAAATGTCAGAACAATGTAGTAAATTTCATGGTCATCCAGTCTTTAAAAACTGCTAATTAATCCATAACATAATTGAATAGTTATTATTGTATGTGGAATCAGCTTCTAATTAGGCAGGTCTATGTGAAAAAAATACACAAAACAAAACAATCAATTATATAAAGCATAGTCTTTCCTATAGTACATGCTTACATAGTATCACATTTTCCTGCTGATCCCCAAACACATCTATACTAATATTACTGAACAGAATTTTATAGTCTATAGTTCCACTTTACACTGATGTGAATCTGATCTAAAAGGCATAGATTTGTAAGTCATCTGAAAATACATTCACATCTTTCACATCTATGCGGTGGGATTTTGATCTGGTTAAAAAAGGTCCTGTGCAAGTTTAGTGCAGGTGCAATGCAAAAACTCACACCTGTCAAAACACAAATCGCACTGTGAAACTGCATTGTGAAATCATATCAGTTCGTGCCACATCAGTATGAACCTAGCTCTAAACAAGTTTCCCGTGTAGTCCAAAATATAGATAGTGCAGACACATAAACATTGACACAAAAATGTTGGGAAGAAAGCTGAACTCCAGGATAAGAAAAATCTTTTCTAAATCTAAAGAGTCATGTGTATTCTTACTTGAGTCTTGGTGTGCTTTGTGTATTTCTTCCAGATCTGTACAGTAATAAAATGTGCAAGTTTGTCTCTGAGCAGGAGCTTCCTTTCATGAAGACCAGTCACTGCTGCTGTATCTACTTTTCCAGGGTGACTGGTCTTGTCTACGCCCTCTTTTGTAGTTTTTTGCAGGAAGTATAGTCGGTGGAGCCTTCTAGGTCCCTCCCACAGCTTTGCTCTCTGCATAAGTACTGCACAATGATGATGTCACTGTTATTTTAACAAGGTAATCACTGGGTTTTGGTGCACACAAAGTGGATTTTTATATCCTTTGTTATTTTTTTGAGGAGCATGTTTAAATAAAGATATTTGTGACCGAAGTTCAGCTTTAATACTCTTTCTTTTAGACATGGAAAGACAAATCTAATCCAGGCATCCAATACTGTTCCCATGGGATCTTCCTTCTTAAAATAGCTGACATTTTACTTATAATTAGAAAAATGAGTATGCTCAACCCCGAACAAGGAAAAAAATTCTCCAAACTATTATTCAGTAGGCAGATTTATCCATTCTTCAATACAAGGTTTCCCATCTCTGTCATGACTATAAAAGGCATTTTCACTATTTCATGAGTTCACCAAGGATGATTTCTGATGTTTTATTCACATTGTGTTGTGTCTGTTTCAGCATGATTTTTTTTTTTTGGTTTGTATCTTATAATGTTTACATTCTTCCATATTATACATTCCTTGTGAACAAAATAAGGTGTAAGAAAAGGTGGGCCTGCTAGTTTTGGAGATTGTTAAGTGAGATCTACAAATACTATTCAGTCAAATGTAATAGTGAAATACTCAGAGATGCCCACTAGTCTTAGTGGTAATGGGGACGTAGAATTAGGGGTTGTAGCACAAAGAACAGAGAATGTATGATTCTAGAACCTGAGGTTTGGGTGGGACATGGGTGTCTATACAGGGGGCTTCTGTAAGTTCTTCCTGAGTACACACTGTCACATATAGTGGACTGACAGATGTATTACCATTTACAATGAACAACTCAGAGGGATTTCACAAACAGTGAGCAATGGTGTCACTGTAATCAAATCATTGAAGTAGCCAATGTAAGAAATTACATATATGATGCAATATGTCAATAGCATTAACAAATAACAGCATCTTTTTTTGCTTCTCCCTTCCTATGACTTGCTTTTATTATCTGTTGATTTTGCCAGTAGAACTGTTGACGTTTCTCTTTCTATAACGGGCCAAGCTGTCCAACAAAAGGGACAATTACAGAGGTTGGGACAAAATATGTAAAACTGATAGGCAGTTTTTTATTCATGTAGCGTAAACCTTTTTATGCCAAAATAAAAAAAATGATGTATCTACACTAGAATTGTGCTTTAAAACTGAGGTATGAGTTAAAAAAAAAATCATACTCACCAAGGTAGATACAGCATTGATCTGATGCTGCATCTGTCCCACACCACTTCTAAGACTAAGAACTGAGCAATCAAAGACTGCTCAGTTCTTAGCCCTCAGTGAACAGAGAGCCGGTGACTGTCAGTATTCGGTTCTCTGCTCTGCCCCTCCAGTGCTCACTGGAGCTCTGGGCTGTGAAGGGGGCAGGAGTGGCTGGCTCAGGCTCTCAGTTTCTTGCTGAGAATCTGAATCAGCTGACGGCCTAGGCTTCTAGGTGGATCCTGACTTTAACGTTGGGATCTTCCCACAGCCTGGGCCGGCAGAGTGACATCAGCCGATAGCAGACTTTGGCTGGCCATACACTATACGATTTTCTGTCCAATTTTTGCCCAATTTCCTTTAGATTTACCTTAAACTGTGCAGTGCAAGGGCCTGCCAAATTGGATACAACTGAAAGTGTTGTTTGGGTTTGACCTCCTATTATATGGTTTTTAGTAAATCTAAAGCAAAAATCTTAAGAAAATTGTATAGTGTATGGCCAGCCTTAAGCTCTCTGTAAGTTAAAAATAGGTATCAGGATTGCAGAACGAACTGCACTGCTGTGTTCCCAAGGAGAAGTACAGCCAAAATAGCTTTGGCTATACTTCTCCATTAATTTGTTTGTTTCCTACTTAAAGTCCAAAACAACATGTCCATCTAAGAATACCATGTCCATGGGACTCAGAAAAAAGAAAAACTGCTGTGTTAATAACAACAAACTGCATTATGAATGTAATTTCTGATTTTGCCTATAAAGTGCATACACATTAAAGTGCATTTTTAGTATAATGTTGTTTCAACAGTTATATAGAAAATGTGTATATTCCTAGCGGTAATATTAAAATATATGTGTCCCATAGTTATTCCCAGTTTGATGGAATTCTCTTTAAATATACCAGGATAAGGAAATAACATGTTTGCTTTACAAGAAGGTTTTTTTTTTTTACTTTATTTTTTCTTAGTTTTATTGGCTAATCATAATTAAAACATCATATTTCCATGTTATAATATTAGCACATAGGTACCTACTGGAAAATACTATGGACATTTGGGTTGTCTTTGATAGGCAGTGGAGCTCAGTAGATTGGTAAAGGACATCGCACTGTATATGGAACATGACTGCAATGTACTTGAATTCCAACAGGTCCCTACAGTTTGGCTTTGGTGTGTGTATTACAGTCATACTTTTCATATGTTCAATGAACTGTATCTGCAGTGTAAGCTTAGAATAAATATGGGTTGACATATATAAACAGGCCAGTTTTCCATTAGAGCATCTATCAGATGAATCCTTCAGTACAGGCATTAGGATGCATTCCACATGCTATCCATCTGTGTGTATATTTGGACCTTCTGTAACCCCCATAGTTCCATTGCTAGTGGCACCTTGGTGGCTGCTAATCATAGGGATGTGATTAGATAGGCTTGATGCCAACAGAAGCTGGTACATTTTGCAGTACACAATTTGTGATTGTAAGGGCTCTTTAATACAAGTTCACTCCTAAAGTCTCAGTAAATGTTATAAAAAATAAAATGAAAACTATAATGCCTTTTTAAAACATAATAAATCACTGTTCCCCCTTTTCTGAATGGAATATTGACATATGATATGTTTGTTTTTGTTTTCAGAGAGCCCATCCATATCATGTCAAAGGACTAGTCTACCTCCATCCTTATGGACAAACTCCTATCAGTCGGCTCCAGCTTGCCTGGGTGGAGTTCATCCAGACTTTGGCTCCACGACAGCCAGCACCCTCTCAACTACAGAGCACAGCAGCTGGCCCGGAGATAACGTTCACCAGACTGTCCCACATCCTCCTCCGGTGGTGACGGAGTCCTGGCACTATCCACTGGCTTCACCAACGACATCACCATATGCCCACATGCATGACATTTACATGTATCGGCACCATGCTCATCCTCATATGCATCACCATCACCACCATCATCACCATCCCAGTTCCCATGTGGACCCACGGTACGGACCTCTTGTAATGCCCTCGGTGCGAGCAGCCAGGATTCCAGCAGCTCAATGTGACGGAACTAAAGCTGAAGCCACAACCCCTACCATGGCTACTCCAGCATGGGCTGGGGCATTCCATGGCACTGTAGACATTGTACCAAGTTTTGGCTTTGAGACGGGTAATGGCTTTTCTGCCTAAATAAAGTATTTTTGTATGTGGACACTACAGCTGGAACATCCTGCTTTGGATCCTGGATGCTAGCCTTCTTGTTACCTGTAAAGAATGAATTTTAGCTGAATCTGCCTTAAAGGACACCATTATTTTGTTTCCCTCTGAAAACAAAATGCTTTATATGTTTCCCCAGACCTGTTTTGCATTATGTATGTCTTTGGTTGACTTTTTTTCTGCAAAGCCTTCTGTGAGTAACTGAAAAAATAGACTTTTTTATATTAAATATTAATGATTTCTTAATCTGTTTTCTTAAGCTTCAACTTATTTGCTTGTGTGTGGTCTGTATGTATGTATTACTGCACCTCTGGTGAACTGATTAATACCATATCACTCCAGGGAAAAAATAATGAGTGATTTCATGACCTACAAAACAGGTGTGACAATTTTTGTAAAGCCCTCTGGTTTATTATGAATGGTCTATGGACGGCATGCTTGTGTATCTGAAATCAAAATGAAAGCGGTGCCAAGATATGAATGGGTCTTGTGCCTATACATATCTTATTTGTTTGTGTCTTAGGATATTTTATGACCTGTGAAAATATATGAAATATTTCTAAACTGCCTGTAACTGTAAATATACAATAGGTGGTTCATAAAGGGTTCATTTAACTTATTAATCACAGATGAGATTTCGACTACCCTAGTGCAGAAAATGTGTTTAAATGTCTATAAAATACAGTAATATGATTAAATGAAGCAAAGGGGTGCATTTACGGCATACAATTACGTATTATTCCAGTGCACCATGGAGGTAGACCCATAATCTTCAAGCTACATATTGAAGGTAAAAACTAAAGTTTTGTTTCAGCAAGTACACCCCCCGTCGGTTTATGCCATAATGTACTAGTATTCACCGCACGCTAGCACATTATAACAGAGTTACAGTACCTTTCACATGAAGCCCTCCAACGCTAAGCTATCACCACTCCCAGAGCTTTCAGAGTCACTTGGTCTTTCTCCTGGGTTCATGCCTTCTGTCCATTGGAATGGCCAGATCGTGATGACATCATTCTTGCAAATGCGCATGGGCATCACTATCATGCAACAGAGTTCTGCATTCACGGCACTCTCAAGTTTAGCAGATATTCACAGTACCTACAGGTAAGACTTAGTGTAAGTTTACCTCTAAGGATAAGTTAAAAAATTGAGTTTATAACTGTAAGTTCGCCTTTCTAAAAAAAATCATAAATGCGTGTTTTTTTTTGCAGGTGCAATCTCAGGCTCCTGCAGAATGTCAGTGTATCTGTCTGCTCCTACCTTGTACAGGCAGGCAGTTACACAATGACAGGAAGACTCAATGAACTACCTAGAGTGCTCACTAGTGCCTTGGTAGTTCATTGAGAACTAAAAGCCATCATCTGCAAAGGCTGTTGGTACTTGTAGTTCATTTATTCACAGATCTTTGTGAATGAGTGATGTGGCTGTGTGAGTGAAGTCCCGCATGCCATGCTGTTTTAAAATTGTGACAGCAGGTGTAGGGAGGAGATTCCCCTGCCTGCTGTCACAATGGGGGGGGGGGGTATCGGCAAGGGGTTGCAGGAGTGGGAAAATGTTGCATGTTCCACCCTAAAAATGGGTGCAACATATTCCGAAAGGTGAACTTATCCTTTAAGGCTAAATTCATGACAAACAGCAAAATACACAGACTATGTATGTATTTGCATTTCTTACCATTCAGTTCTGAGATAGATTCTAGCAGCTGTGCCACACAATATCCCTGTCTGGCAGGACAGGAGACCTGAAGGGCCTGGCAAGAATTCGGGAGGGTAAAACCTAGTGCTGTTTTTTTTGTGTGATAGTCCCTCGTTAGCATCTATACTATTTTGCCAAAAGTATTAGGACACCTGCCTTTACATGCACAAGAACTTTAATGGCAACCCAGTCTTAGTCTGCAGGGTTCAATGTTGAGTTGGCCCACCCTTTTTAGCTATAACAGCTTCAACTCTTCTGGGAAGGCTGTCCACAAGGTTTAGGAGTGTGTCTATGGGAATGTTTGACCATTCTTCTAGAAGCGCATTTGTGAGGTCAGGCACTGATGTCGAACAAGAAGGCATGGCTTGCAGTCTCAATTCTAATATATCCCAAAGGTGTTTGATCAGGTTGAGGTCAGGACTCTCTGCAGGCCAGTCAAGTTCCTCCACCCCAAACTCGCTCATCCATGTTTTTATGGACCTTGCTTTGTGCACTGGTGCGCAGTCATATTGGAACAGGAAGGATCCATCCCCAAGCTGTTCCCACAAAGTTGGGGAGCATGAAATTGTCCAAAATGTCTTGGTATGCACAGTGCAGTCAAACAAGTACCATTCTCCTGGCAATCACCAAACCCAGACATGTCAATCAGATTGCCAGGCAGAGAAGCGTGATTCGTCACTCCAGAGAACACCCATTCCATGAAGCTCTCTATGCATTCTATATGACATTTGGAGGTCTTTAGCTTTTGACTCTGCAGACAGTTGGCGAATTCTGCGCACTGTGCACTTTAGCATACGCCGACCCCGCTCTGTCTTTCTACGTGGTCTACCACTTCATGGCTGAGTTGCTGCTGTTCTCAGTCACTTCCACTTTGTTATAATACCACTAACAGTTGGCCGTGGAATATTTTGTAGCAAGGAAATTTCACGGATGGACTTGTTGCATAGGTGACAACCTATCACAGTACCACATTTGAATTCACTGAGCTCCTGAGAGCGACCCATTCTTTCACAAATGTTTGTAGTAGCAATCTGCATGCCTAGGTGCTTGATTTTATACACCCGTTGCCATAGAGGATACTTTTGGCAATTAGTGTATTCCGCTCAAGGGCCCCAAATGCGCTCAAAATGCTTTCAGGTAGCATTCAGCTCACTAGCAAGTTGCTCTTTGAGCATTATCCAGGATACCTTTTGCCTAAATGCAGAGATAGTGAGAAGAAAGGTGATATGAGGTTACCATTGTTCCACACCTTGGAGTGCAATAGTTTTGGGGCTAAGATTGGTGGTCTGTGCTTGGAGGGTTGCCATTTAATTAAGTTTAAGGGGACTGATCGTGCCACTGTTCTCTCCATATTTATCCACTCAGATTTTTCAGTGCGAGAGTATACAGCTGAAACTGTGCAAGTTGGGCAGCCTGCTAGACCGCCTTTCGTCTTGTATGCAAAGAGAACCCGTTTAGACTGTCTGTAGCCTTTAACATCCCAAACAAATCAAATTATTTTGTCTTGAAACCTAGAAAGTTCTGACAGTATGCTCAATATGGGTAGAGAACGAAAGTAATAAAGTAGGCATGGTAACAAATCTTGAGGGATTGAATTTTGCCTACCCAGGAGGACCATGGTTCACCCACGCCTGAAGGTCCTCCTCAAGTTTTTTATATAAGGGAGGATAATTGACTTTGTATAAGGTGGATATTGAGGACGTAAGTCAGACTCCTAAATAAGGGACAAAATCAGTCCTCCAAGAAAAAGGAAATGCAGCCTGCAATCGGGACACCAGTGCCTGGGGAAGATTGGTGTTCAATGCAACTGATTTGTGTATATTTATTTTAAGGCCCAAGATGTTACCAAACTCATCTAATCATTTATGTATATTGGGTAAAGAGATTAGTGGTGAGGATATAAATAGGAATAAATCATCAGCAAAGAGGGAGCATTTATGGGAAATTATATCCTATTTTGTACACCAAGAATATCTCTCTTTAGACCTAGTATAACAAATCTACTGGAAATTGTAAGACTGTACAATCATATGACAAATGATTTCAGAATAAGCACTGCAGTATAGTCAAGTTACCCGGCTGAGCGCTGCATTTAAGTTTTAGCACCTCGTGAAACTCACATTCTGTAATAATTACCGTCTGCAAGATGTCTCTCAACAGGAAAATGCAAAGATTATTACGCTGGAATTTATAGATGGTCGTAGCAATGTAGCAACTGGTTAACAGATGGCTTAATCATATACTAATGAGAAAAGAATCTGCGTTTCCGAGTTTACCACAGTAACAATTTGAAAGTGTCTGTATTATGCATTAAAGAGAACCTGTCTTTTGCAAAAAAACAGCTGATAAAATCTACAGTGTATAGCTGAACATATGGTACACTACAGCTTTATAGCTGGTTCTTTATTTACGTATTCACTATACTATGGTATGGGTTTCTGCACATGATCATTGCACTTTGCACTGACTTATTAAACATGCCTGAAATTCTTGTGATGTCTTTTAATCTAACTCCAAGGAATAAATTGAATTTTAACAGTATTTATGAGAGTACAATTAGCATGTGCTATCAGATTCAAAATACTGTGTAATTCAAACAACTTGCAACTTTCTCTGCATGTTAAAAGTTATGGATATGCTGCAAACCAAGATGCTTTCAAATGTAAAAATCTAGAGAATTCTATGTGTATGTAAACCCTAGCATTGAACTTCTCTTATTTGCTTTTGGTTATATATGCCATTGAAATAGTTTTGTGATATCTGTTTAATAAGTGCCAATAATACCTGTTGATCCGGCCAGAAACCAAGGGCTCCTGTGTTCTCTCCAGTGTTAGCTTAAGCAGTCTTATCAAAATTGGCCAGTTTTCACAGTGAACTACAGAACACCTCCCCTATGCTATGGAGATAAGAAGGGGGTAGGTGCTCTATAGTCTCATCACACCTTTTGCTCTAGGGTGACATTCTTGCTGCTCCATAGATGAAACCCTAATGCTACATTCACACTAGTGATTGGGGGGGGGGGGGGGCAGATTGCTGTATTCAGAGATAGGTGCTGCCTATATTTGCAGCTGCTCTGTGAGCTATGGCTTGTATACGGCTGGTTAGCTGTGGCCAGTTTGTTTGCAGCCAGGACATCATCCCTGGATCCACACTGTCTGTGTCCAGGGTTGGTCAGAGGCTTATTCCCAGATGAGCATTTACATGCAAACAGCATTGACGTCAGTCATTGATTTGTACAGAATACAAATCTGACAGTTGCTGCTGTTTTAGACACA